ATGGGAAACTGGCCATCATCAAATAAAGCAGAAACCATATCAATATTAACAACATTACTTGTAGTTCCTTCAAATAGTAATGTAATCATCTATACAGATAGCAAAACATCCATGTATTTATGTGCCAATAACACATAAATACAAAATTAAAATTTTTACTATTTGGCTCATAATAGAAGAGTTGATTAAAAAAAAGAATATTAATTTGAAGTGTAGGAAAGTTAAAGCACACTCAAACAATATTTTTAATAATGCAGCTGACTTATCTGCTAAACAAGGGCTTTTAAGCCAAACAATAAAATTTGACTTCACTAAAACAAAGACACTTAAAGCTACCTTATATTTTAATGATATTTTAATTGAACAACCAATACGTTCCTTCATCAAATCAATTAACCAAGCTGAAGCTTTTAATAGGTGGTTGCTATTACACAGGCTCGCAAAATATGCAAAGTTAATAAAGGACATTGATTGGGACAGAACATGGAAAAGTTTTGCCTTTTCATCTTACAACAGACAACCAGAGACATCATTCTCAGAAAGCAAAATCAAAGCTTTCAAAATTAAAACCATGAATAATAATTTACCTGTACTAGAAAACTTGAAGATAAGACGACCTGATTTATATGGAAATGAATGGACATGCATTTCCTGTAGACAAGAAAATGAGACACAACAGCACTTATGGTTGTGTAGCAATAGTCAAAAAATAATCAGAGAAATAATTAAAAAATGTAAAAGATACATAACAGAAGAAATCAAATCATCAAAACAGTATAACAGCAAAGATCATAATATAAATAATATACTGTCAGACATGTGTTGGGATCTATATTATGACGAACAAAAAATTACCTTCTTAGATTTAATTAATGGAATAATTCCAAAATCATTAACAAATAATATTTATAAAATTATACAGTGTAACAAATCCACAACCAACATCACTAATATAATAATTGAAACAATTATTACAAATATATACAAAGATATTTGGAAACCTAGGTGTGATTTGGTGATTCAAGAAGAAATTAAGGAAAACATCACCAAACAAATGAAATTAAAAAAAGAGAATAACACAGTAAAGAGGAAAAAAAAGAAAGAAAAAATTAAGAGAAAAGATCTTGATCACAATAACTCCAATAATGAAACATCTCTCTCAACTTTGAGTTGGATAAGTTGGGTAGATTCCTGGATTAAAAAAGGAAGCCAATGGGAAATATACGTATCTTGACAGGATGTTTTACATAGTCAAAGAAATGGGGTGCAATAGCTTAATTCTCTAATTAAAAAAGGAGGCCTCATGAGACTTTGTACGACGTCAAGTCGCTCCAAACGAATACTATTCTATGGTAAAACGGGGGGGAGTTGTGCATTGTAAATAATTTAATTTTTATATATATATGTATTACATATTTTTAATTTTAAATTAATAAATGTCACGACAAGATTACGTCGATTAAAAAAAAAAAAAAAAAATCAAATAGTGGTTCATATTAAAATGAATGGCAAATATGTTGCAGATGATGTAGTTTGCGAAAATTGTAAGGAAAAATTTGAAAATGATGAATTGTTAAAGTGTAATAGGTGTGGTAGATTACAAACCAGACATTACTTTGATGTTCTTAATGGTGAATATATTTGTTTTTGTGTCAAATACGAAGAAGATATGGAAGAAAAGGAACCTCTCCTCTTACCTGATGAAGAAATAAGTCAGTCTGCTTTTTATGAAAGACAAATAAACTCTTTACAAGAAGAGTTAACAACTACTGAAGAAACACTAGAAATTGAAAGGGAAGAAGTAACCAAATTTCAAGAAAAATCTGAAGAGTGGAGTAAGAGACAAAAGCAGGAATTATTGGCTAAGATAAAGGGTTTAGAAGAAAAAATTAAGCAACTAGAAGAGGAAAACAAGAAGTTAAAAGAGGAAAAGAATGGTCAAATTGCTTAAATTGAAGTTAACGAAACTAAGAAATGACCTTGATTGAAAATAAGAAAGTAATTTTTGGCTATTTTTCTCTCTAAATTGAAATTCATTCCAACTATCAAAGAAAATGGTAGTTATTTTCCATTTAAATATTTTTGCTTTTTGTTAGTATTAGGTAATAATGCATCATTATGATGCTTTTTCTAACATTTATTATTTTTCTTTCTTCTTGATAAATTTCATAGGTGATTTTCTCTTTACTTAGATAAGCTTCAAGTATGTGAGTGTCATTTATTTTGAAAATATAAGGAGCAATTTTTTCACCTTGTTCCTTTTTTAAAATACTTCTAATGGTGCTATAACTCTTGGGTTCTGTAGTAAACCTAATGTAAATTAACTTCATATTAACTATTTTGTCTAGACAAATATCATTGATCACATTGCATTGGTAATGTAATTGTGATATTAAATAAATAATATCGATCCCTGAAATTCTTGGTAATACCAATGTTCACTTTGTCTGGTTTTTTTTTGCAGCATGCCCCATATATATACACCCTTTCCCAGCCTCAAAATGCTTGATACTAAAATTCAAATAAAGTTTCTCCAACATTTGGGTTTCCAATAATAAGGAATCCTATATGCGTTGTATCTTGAAGGTCTCAATTAAGGTTCCCAGTCCAAACTATTTTTGAAAAGGTAGCTTTGACAATAGTTGGGCTTTTCAATATTTTTTATAAGAACAAACATAAAAAACTATATAAATCAACCTATTTTAAAAGTAATTTCACCCAATTTCAGTTATTAATAAAAAATAGCTGGCCCAAAGTGTTTCAGAAATTTTGGGTACTAAGAGATAGTTTCAACCAGAAACATTAATCTTAATAACAGTCAAATGAAAATTTCATGGGACTGAAAATTTGGAAGAAGCAGAAGCTCTAAGTGTGATTTGTCCAGATCAATTTATGTTATAAACTTGTTGATCTATCCTTGGTAAATAACCTGCTTCCAGTTTCACTTTTTTTGTTGTGTTGTGTTTCATCAGCTGTTGAAGTGTAAGTATAAGAATGAAAGAATAAGGGAAGGAAAAAAAATACAAGAATTTGGTTTACTTTTTTTTAAGTAAAATATGTTATGGACAATGAAATGGATATCAAATTAGTTATTTAAAACTGTAAACAGTATATCAAATGCTTTCTCAATGAGTAAATAAATAAACAAAATGGAATGAATGAAAATAATTTTTTGTTATCAACTAAGGAACATTGTAAATACTTGATTTGCTCCCACCAATCCTTCTTCTCTTCCAGCTTCTTCATTTTTCGAATCAAGGTTAAAGGAGCTGTGGGGAGGAGAAAGGTATCAAGGTGAAAAGAAAAGGTTTGAAGGAGAATTTCTTCTAAAACTCCTTTGACTTTTTTTTTTGCCACCCTTTTGTGTTACAACTCTTGGCACATGACTTGGAATTTTACTTTTTTTATCATCCTTCACTAATAAGTTTGCTTGATTTATTTTTGAATTGGCTTTTTTTCCAGCTATATTTTATTGATTATTTCATCTATTTTGTACTTATATTACAGGTTTATTTAGTAAGTTTTATAGTGAAGCAAGGAAAAAAAAGAGTTCAATTAAGTAAGCATAAACTTATTTGTTTTTATTGAAGTATTTGTAATTTGACTAGTTTTTTTTATATACAGTGAATTGGTGATAATCTTTATAATGTTCCAACACAAGGCAATGCTTATTTACCTTGTTTCAATACCAATAAGACAAAAACAAAGATTTATTGCATTTTCATAAATATGTACATTTTCTTTTATTTTTTTTTTTTTACTAAAAGGTCCATTAGACAAAAAAAAACATTAATCCCAAAAAATAACAAAATCTTTGTTTGCTCTTGAAAAAATATAGGATATTCATATATGTAATCTTTGTCCTCCTATTTTTATTATCTTTTTGATTGGAATTATCTGCCCTGTAAAAAAAAACAGATCCGTGCGTTTGAAATTCCGTTGTTTTCTCCAGAAATGTATCATATTCATGGAAAAATCATGGAAAGATTACAGAGGAAAGATAGACTTTGCCGCTGCTATTGCAAATTCGTGGAAATTTTCAGGAGTATTTCTGGAATTAAAATTCAAATAATGGGCTAAGTTTTTTATAGGGCTAATGCACTATAATTATTAACTGCTTAAGAATTTTTGACTCTTTTGTAAATCGGGGCGATAAATGTTAGGATTACACTAAATTTTGATCCCTGTAATTAATTTCCTGTGATGTTCACTTTGTTACAAGCATGTCTCAATAATGGCTTTTAACTGGTCTTTAACTGATCTTTTAATTGGTGTTTTCTTAATTATTGACTAGTCTTTGGACAAGCTTTTAACTACATTTAAAGATCGGTCATTCGGCTTTCTAAAAAAAGACCAGTATTGGGGGCTAGTAGTACGTCCATATTTAACCAATAACTGATAAGGTACACATTTAATCACACATCACCACCATATTAATATAAATGTAAAAAAATAATAAAAAAAAAATTCTTTACAATTTATTTCAAGAGATTACTATCTTCTCTTTTTATCATTATTATTTTATTTAAGGTGGAAGCAGTAGTTGTAGTTGATTAGTTGTTAGCTGTTTTATTTTAAGTTGTAGACGAAGTAGTAGTAGAAGAAAAGAGGTTGCAGCAGTATTTCAGGATCCCCTTCCTTATTTTTTTTTTTTGACTTTTTTATTTATTTAATTCGCACACACAAATTACAAAAGTTAATCAAGCTCTTGTAAAGAATGTCATTTTCAAGAAGTTGTTATAAATGTGGAAACGGTTAGTATTATTCAACTGTTTTTTATAAAGTAACAAATATTTAAACATGTGTGAAAAGGTTACTCAATATATGCGCATACATATTTACATGTATATAACCCACAAAAAAGTATTAATTGAATAATAATTTTTTTCTTTTCAAAAAACACTAGTTGGACATTTTGTCGATTCTTGTCCAGAAAGCGATAGATTATGTTATAATTGTAAGCAACCTGGTCATGAAGCTAACCAATGTACTCAACCTAGAACAGTTGAAACGAAGCAATGTTATTCTTGTGGTGGAGGTAAAAATTATTAATTGGAAAAAATCAATTAGATCCAAACGAGTTTTAAAGAATTATTTTCTCTCCTTCCCTTTATTCCTTTATTATTATTATTAGTTGGACATCTTCAAGCCGATTGCTCAATTGGGCGTGGAGGGGGAGGTGGTGGAGGTGGTGGCGGCGGTGGCGGCGCTGGAGGTCGTTGTTACAATTGCGGTCGTTTTGTAAGTCTTCTTCTTAGTTAATTAATTATACTTGTATGCATGTTTACATTTATTCTTATACAAGATATTCAATATTTTAAAGGGTCATTTAGCTCGCAATTGCCATGGAAATTTTTCTGTGAGTAGAGAAAGAGAAGGAGGAGGAGGCAGAGGGCGTGGGCGTGGGCGCGGACGTGGACGTGGTGGATATGTTGGACGTGGACGTGGTGGATATATGGGAGGAGGACGTGGTGGGTATATGGGAGGACGTGGCGGATATACTGGAGGACGTGGCGGAGGACGTGGCGGACGTGATGGTGGTGGTGGTGGGCGTAGTTCTCCTATTGTTTGTTACAATTGCAGTGGATATAATCATTTTGCTAGAGATTGTCAAGCTAGTGGAGTAAAATGTTATAATTGTGGCCGATTTGGTCATATTGTAAGTTGTTTTATTATTATTTTTATTGTTATTATTTTAGATATTTTATTAATTTTTCTTTTTTTTAATAGTCACGAGAATGCTCTTTTTCTCAAGGATCAAATGACAAACCTGGCAAAACATGTTATCAATGTGGTGAAGTTGGTCATATTGTAAGTAATAATAGTAAAAAAATAATTATTACAATAATAACTTACTAAAATATTTCTTATTTTCTTTAAAAATTTAGTCTAAAGATTGCACCAATGAATTAAATAACGATAATTAATTATTATGTAATTATTATTACACTATTAACAATATAAATTAATAAATACACTTGTATCATTTTTTATAAAATTATTATTGTTCTCTTTTTAGCTATTATTAAATACCTTATTAACTTTAATCATTTGTAATTTTCAGAATCCTAATTTTGGTTTTTTATTTTTATAATTATTAAAGTAGTAATAATCATGATCAATCATATAACCATTTATCATATTTGTTTGTTTGTTTTATGACGAGAATAAATTGTAAATGTATATAATTATTTATTACTATGAATATATTATTTATTTAACAAAAAAATGTATCAATAAAAAATAATAAATAAACAAAAACTTTGCAATTGTATATAGATGTTGTTTTCTTTCCAAAAAAAAAAACAAGAAATCTTTACAATTTAATTGTAAGATCACTAACATCTAATTCATCTGTACTTAAACTTCCTAATTTTTCAATTAATTCTATCGCTTTTTCAGCAGCATTTTCCTTCACCTCTTCAATTTCATTTACAGGATCTTTTGGAACTCCCGTAATTAATGCAAAATCAAGATTATCAAGCGCTGCATGCTATATTTATTCACATTTAAAAAAAAAGGTTCATATGAAATTTTTTTCAAGTGATTATTAGAATTTGATTATTATTTATATAAATAAAATAGATTATAGACATATCATGGATATTATTTACCTCTATTTCCTCTATATAGGATTATAAGTGTTTGCAAAATTAATAAATATATATCTATGAATAAATAAATATTAGTGATATTATTTACCTTCACTCAAGTTTAATTTTCCAGATGTATCTGCCACAAATACACCTTTTCAAATAATAATAACAATAATAAAAAATAGTAGAGTTAATCAATTAATTTGTCTCTGCAAATAATAATATATTAATATTAATAGTAATAATTACCATTCCCTGTTGCTACTTTAACATCAACTAATTCAGATGCATTACCAATCACTAGTATCACATTTATAGCAGGTGAAAGTGAATCAAGAACTTCAGTGTCAAACTTGTTTATGATCTTTTATTTGTTATAATAATTAATTTGGAAATAAGTTTCTTGTGATTTTTCATCATCATAAGAAAAATATATATCTACATATAATTAATATATGTTATATATTATTTGCCTACCTCTTGAGCACCATGGGCTAATAAAATAGCTGTAACATTTTCATATTTACTTGTTGCCTCAACAACAAAATCTTTTCTAGTTGATTTAAATTCCTATCAATCAAATTTTTTTTCGCAAAATAAAAAATAAATGGACAAATTCTTTTAATTGAAGTGTAATGAAGATGAAAAAGTCTTATTCTACTTTAAATTCATAACGAGTTTTCATTTCTTCCAATAATTTATGTTGATGTTTTAATTCTCCTAAAACTAAAACTTCTTGTTTAGGTGCAGACATTGCTGAAATTGTTAAGCGTGCAATTCATTCATTCATTTTTAGATTATTTATTATTATTGGGACTGGGATAAGTATGGTTACACATTAACATTTTTAGAAATTAAGCTTCCGCATTTCTTTTTTGTTTGTTAATAACTAGATGTCTTCCTACCACATCTACTAGTTCACTCAATTCTTCCTCTTCAATCAGCATTTCCATCAACTGGCCCATCACTACCTTCAATTGAGCCTGACTTTCATTATCCTTCATAAATCACTTCTCTAATTTATAATAAAATTTGTAACCTATTATTAAAGTCTATTTAAAAATTTACATGATTGCGACAAGTTTTTTAGTTATGGCTATTTTCAATTCATTATATTAATAGTGAACTAATATTTGTAGATTGGAGTGGTCTAATTGTAATTTTTTACTACACCAATTGGATTTGGCTTTGCCAAACTGGAAATTTCAACATTGCTACGAGTATAAACAAGTTTCAATCCTATAAGGGGGGGGATTAATAAATCACGCATATTATAGACACGATTAATTAAAAAAGATAATTAATTATTATTTAATAAATTTTTACCAGGA